GTTCCGGGGAAAACCCGGGTGTTCCCCCCCCCGTTTTGTGGGGGGGGGGGGCCAATGGTTTAAGGATTTCGGCCCGCCCGGTTTGGGGTCCCCCCCCCCCCCCCCCCCCCCTCATGGTCTAACGACTACGGCATCCACGACTATGAGTACACCCCCCCCCCCCTCGCCCACCTGTAACTCTCTCTGAGCTGCGGTGCTGTACTGTTTCCGCACCAACGCCCCTCTGCCAAACCGCGTCCGAATCTGTTCCGCGAGCTTGCGGATCTCCGCCGAGCTGCCTCCAACCCAGTTCGTGTCCCAGTGCTCTTCACCGCCCCCACGGCCGTCGCCGCCGGCCTTTGCCGAAGCGCCCTCGCCATCGGCAGACGGCCCGCTCGCGAGCAGCAACGACTCCTCCGGCAAGCCCACCCCCCCGCCGTCCAAGCTCCCGCGCAACCCAGAACCCCCTGTCGCAGGGATCTTCTTCCCCCCTCGTGGCATTACCATCCCTTCGTCGCTAGACTGGCGGTGAGCAGAGCGAGGAGGTGTGTTGCGGGCGGTCGTTACCGGTGCCGGCGCCGCCGTTGCCGGTGCCGTTGTGGCGTGGAGGGGGCGCATCCCCACGGTCAGCAGGCGGCGGTAGACGGACATGTACCGGGACAGCAGCCGCACGCGAGAGATGAGCCCCTGCCAGGTGAGGCTTAGCCCCGCGGAGCCCCTGTGGGCGTCCCGCCGCTGCTCGATCATCACGCACCTGGTCGTGCGAGCGCAAGAGCAGTGGTAGAGAATTAATCGACGTTGATTGGGACTGACGGCGAAGCTATTTTTCACGATAGTGTAGTAAGACAGGTTCTTCCAGGATGGCGGAACAGGACTCATTCTTTCGCTCGCGGTCATCGAGGGGCGGGGATAAAGCAACAGGTCGGGAATCTTTGAGTGTTACAAAAGCAAATGTGAAGCATCTAGCTGCCGGTCAAGCACCCACTTCCGTCCCCCCACAGAAAACAACTAACCCAGAAGGCAAGAGTGGCCAAATGGCAGGAGGAAGCCCCAGCGTCCTCGTTCCCATCATTTTCCCGGCAACAACACTGCTTTCGCGCTGCCCTGGTGTAACAACGGCGCTCACCTGATGGCGTACCGCCACCACGCCTCCGGGTCGTCCAAAACCGACGTGGTCGGCCGCATCGTCCGGAACTTAAACCTTCGGTGCGACATCGTCAGGGCGCTGACCGCCGCATTGAGCACGGCGTACTGCCGGACGTCGACCTGCAGCGCGACCGCCTCCACGTCCAGCGACACGGACACGAGGGGCGGCGGATCAACTGACCCCCCCCGGCCACCGTTAACGCCTCCGCCGCCGGTGGGAACATCCTCGCTGTTGACTGCCCCCGTTCTTCCGACGCCTTCGGGCACGGGCACGGGAACGGGCACCTCGGCGGCGGCGGCGGCAGCCGCGACGACACGGTCTCGGATCACGAGAACTCCGCGCGCTCTAAGCGGCCGGAGGATGAAAACCGGTGAGGTATCGCTTCTGCATCTCGCGGCGTGCTCGCCGCCGCCGTTCTGGCCGGCAGGCAACGAATCGCCGGCGGGTCCCGTTGCGGGCGACGCACCGGCAACATCCGCGCCGGCATCGGAAGCCACGACGTGGAACGGTGGCACCGGGCGCAGGCCCGTAACGCCGCTGGTGGAGCTTTGCTCGCTGCCGCGGCCGTCGTCGTGATCGTAGTCCGACTGGATATCTTCCAACCAGTCCGCGGTGCTCTCCTTCGTGTACGCCACGAGGTTGTCGAGCTCTATGTCTTTGCTTACTCCCGCCGTCTCCGTAGCAGCCGGAACGCCCCCGCTCCTTGGCCTCGCCCTCGGACTAGTGGCGCCGCCGCCGCCGACCTCGCCACCTACACCACCACCGCCGTCACCGCTACCGCTACCGCTACCGCTACCGCCGCGAGAGGGCGAAGCAGCGGAGCCGGTCGCCGGTGCCGCCGCCGCTGATGCGACGGTCGGCGTGACGGACAAACGGCCGAGGTACACCCCGACGGCGCTGGGGCTCGGCGCCGGGCACGTCTCCTCCGCCGACAGCGGGGACTGGACGGGAGACGTCTGGGCGTGCTCCGCTTGCAACCACACCACGTGCACGTTCTCCACCTGGATTTCCAAACGCGAGTCCGTGATGAAACGTGTGCCGCGGCGAGAGAGAGGGAGACACGAGACCACGCGGAACGTGCGTGTCACAAAAATAGGATTAAGGAGGAGGTCGGGCCGGGCACACGCAAATGGTAGGGAACAGGTGGGTACACGGGGTGTTTCGAGGGGCAGGGCTAGAGGTGGACGACTGGCGCTGGTCATCCTGCTGTGTCGGGGCGCGTTGGCCCTTACGGCCGCGCCACTCGGGAAACTTCCGTGCTTTCTGCTCGTCAACCTCTACGTCGTCACCTCTTTCGACCAGGTCTTCAGTGCCACTTCTTCGCTCTAGAATTTTGCCTACACGTCATGTGTGACCTTAACGAGCACCCAAAAGACATGCCCAGCAGGACAACTGCAAAGACAGAAACGGCACCGCCCGCTCGCCAACCGCAAGAAACTCGTCTGCTGAAACCGCTCACCGTTACGGAGAGCTTTCGCACGATGCGAGCCATGAACGAACTCGCGAGGAAGGACCCGAATCTGGCCCCCCACCCTGCCTTCGCCCGCACTCCGGCCAACTGCGCCTCTGCATTTGCGAGTAGCTCCTACGGTATCGTATGCATATGCATACGTAAGAGAAATTCAAGATCACGTGCAAAGCATCGGGGTGGCGGATAAGTATCTTCCAGATGGGTGAGATAGAGATCGAACAGCACCGCCATGCGCAGTGAAGCGAGCATCGGGGCATTCGTGGAATCTGACGGCGAGAACACTACAGGGCAAGCTTGCTTGGCCGGCAGCATGACAGAGCATCAAGACAAATGCAAAGGTTGCTCATTTGACATGTCAAACCCGCGCATGGAGCTCGACGGTACTGCTGTTGGACGCAGAGAGTGCACGATGACGCAACAGCAGACCTGCTTCTTCGCAAAAATGGCGTCTCGCAGCCCCCGCTCTATCTCATCGTCGTAGTTGGCGCTCCCCAGCGGCTCCAGCACGAGGGTAAGGCCAGAAACCTGCAAGCTTGCCTTCATGCTACCGAAGCTCTTCCACGGCACCTGTTAGTGTAACAAAGCAAGGCACGTGGTATGTAAGACCGCTGGTTGTCATACAACACACAAGGAAAACGTTGCGGGTGCTTTTACCCCCCCTCCAAACACCAGAGGTGGGGTCAAAACGACCGTCTCGGGTCGGGGAGGAGATACATTGGGCAGGGCAGGTTGCCGCTATGGAGCATACCGCCGCCACGTCAACTTGGTTGCGTCTGTTGCATGAGTTTCCCGCACCAATTGAGTCAATAAAACCGAACCATTTACAGGTTCCCAAATGCATTACCACCGTAGACAGACCATCTCGAGTCATGGGCCCCGTGCAAAGTGGCGTCTGCTGAGCAAACCGATAAACATGGGCTGAGGGAAACACAGCTAACTGGCTGGCTGGCCTAAAGCCGCACGTGCCTGTATTCTGACGAGATCCACAGACCCTTGTTTCAGCACGACTGGTAGATGGAGCTTGCGCGAAACGTCTGTCCGCACTTGCAAGTCGCGCAGCACCAAGTCTCCACTCCACAACCCGGCCTATTTTTGTGGGGAAACAGCCCAGTAGGCAAGAGGATCGGAGGCGGGCAACGGCAAGAAAATCGCATTAGAGGAAGATCCTTGACGTTTGCAGCAGAAGCTGAGGCTCTCATCGCCGCAGTGAAGCGTGCTAGTGTTTGCACGTGCTGCGATGTAATCGCCGAGACGCGCTCTGCTACGGGGGCTTGGGCATGAACGTATGAGACGACACATGCACAACGGGCCCAGAGAAAAGAAACGTCAAAATCGGGTCGAGGCTCAACGTTTCTTATTTCGTCACCACTGTTGTTGAGCGCAGGTTGTTATATGGAATCAGTGTAGGAACCAGCCTTATTTTTCGCGAAATTTTGAGCTTCAGATCTTATGCTGTGAGCGCTGGTTAATTAAGTTGGGAGTGTTTTGTTTTGGCATTGGGCGGTTTTTAGTCTTTGGTTTTGCGGACGTAGTACTCCCAACGAGAGACTGCCGTGAGATTAGTGTTTCTAATGGCTGTAAGCCTGCGTGACTCACACAACAACATATATTTGAAGGGAACAGCGTAGTGGTACAATGCCTTCCGCATGTGTGAGAATCGAATGCAACCGCGTAGTTTGCACTCTGTTAGGCTAAAATGCAACGCCTCGCTTCTTCATACACACGCCCCCACGCGGACTGTGCATATAGCGTACAAGAAATTAACTGCCAGCAGTAAAAGTATCGTATTGCACTTATTCAACAACAAACGTCAAGTTACACTGGCAAAGCTGTCCACCGAATGCACGCCCACGTTATCTATCCCTTAATGTCCGGACACCGGTACGGCCATTTGCTCTAAAAACAGACAGCAGTCATGCCACGCCCTGTGATCCCTGCTGCACCCTCCGGTCCCCCCCGCCCGGGCATTTCTAAAGGTTCCGAGTATAAAATGGTCCAACGTGTGTGTCGAAAGACCTCCTACGCTTACAGATATATACTGCTGTATCTCAGCACTCACCCCCAGGGAATCGAAGTCCACGTTGTGGACATACTCGCTCAGCTTCCCTGCAAGCCACTGAGGGATAACTCTGAAGAGGTTCATCTACGGGCCCAGCGTTTTCCGCCTCCTCAGGCTGGCGATAGCAAAGCTGCTGCTGCTGTAAAGGAGAGCCCAGTTCCCCGGTCTCCAGAGACAGAGACAAGAGAGAAAACTCTCTGTTGCTGCTGTGTATATCAAAAACTGGTGCTTTTGTCGTCTAGATCGCTTGCAGCCGTCCAGGTCGACCATTTCAGACCGACAGCAGAAACCGAGCGTCACGTCTTGGGCACCCACGTGTCATCGACTCGTGAATTGCTGCGTGGTGGTAGCAATGGCACACCAGCAGCAGACTTCTGCGTTGTGTTTGGATTGCTGTCTCGGTCTTGCTCCTTGCTCCCAGATTGGCGGCAACGCAGAATGATTTCCCCGCAAGTTGCAAGTTGGGGGGGGGCTCCGTTGAATGTGAAGTTTGGGAGGAGGCAGGCAGGAGGCCCAGGCCAGAACCACCTGCCAGCCAACAGCTCCGTTCTTGGAGGCGTGCAAGGCAGCAAGGCACCTCCTACATTCGCCATCTTTGTGTAGCTGCAGCTGACGGAAAAATTGGCCTCAACGCTTGAGAGGCCAGGTGTGTCTTTTGGGATCAAGTTTCTCGTCCCTGTGGGCTGGCTGCCTGTAAAGCGGCGCATAAGGCGAAAACAGGCCGCCTGTTATCTCCGGCCCTCTGCGACTGAGGGCGCCTTCTCGAACCGCAGTTTTGTTTCGGTTGACGAGAGACTGGGGGACGGACAGACAGGTTGCGTGCGGGCTAGGAGAAGGCACAAATGACGGAGAGCGGAACCATGGCCGGGGCGTCTTCCGATTTCAACGAAGACTGGGAAGACTGGGACCCGTCCCAGGGCAACTTTTTGCACCACATGGTGGCGGGCTCGATCGCGGGGATCACGGAGCACACCGTCATGTACCCGATGGACACCTTCAAGACCTACGTGCAGTGCATGCGCGAGTGCCCCGAGGCCGTGGCGGGGAGGAGGGTGATGGAGCTGGTGCGCGGGCAGGGCATGCTCCGGCTCTGGCGAGGGGTTGGCACAATGTTTACGGGCTGTGTGCCGGCACACGCTCTCTACTTCAGCGTCCTCGAGTATTGCAAGGTACGAAGTAGTACCAGCAGAGACGGAAGTAAAAGCGTCTATGAGGTACATCCATCCGCCGAGCCTTTTTTGACGGCAGCGCTTCGTGGCCAGGCAAGACTAACCGAAGGGAGGACCGGTTGCGTTAGTTTTATTTTGTGGTACTGCTGTAGCTGCACGACACGTTAGGGTGGTGCTCTGGGTCACATGTCTAGAGCAACGCTCCGCCATGACTGCTGCTGTGGTTCTATTTTTTTTTTTTTGAAATATGACCCCAGGCACATCATCAGGGGCTAAAAGCATCCGACACCAAACCTAACCGCGCACAAGGTCTGAATTCCAACCAAACTCAAGAAGTTTGGTGGCACTATCTGACACCTTCAGATCGAGTAGAGACTCCTTTGAATTCCTCATCGATTTATACGGTTCATGTGCCTCCGATAGTGTTGGGTATCTATTCAATAATAGATTCGATACGACATCGACCGCCTAGCGGTCGGTATGTCGGTATCGATTTCGATTTCGATTTCGATACATATCGGCGAGCCGTTGGTTGGCGCAGCGAGCCGGCGAAGCCCCCCCCCGCGGCTGGTGAGGGGGCGCCGCTGGAGGCATCTCCGAAGGCAAATAAAAGGGAACAGGGACCATGGGTAGGGATAAATTTTTTAAAAGCGGCGCCTCTGATTGGCCCAAACCGCCGCATTTGAACGAAGCTGATTGGGAGTTTGAAAGCGGGTTTTAAAAGCGGCACTTGGGATTAGTACAGGAGGAGTTGTAAAGACCACGCGCGCGTGCGTTGTGCTGAGAACCAACGTCCGCGCCGGCAGCACTGCACAGCACACAAGACGTGCTTGCCGGCGTATGTATGTCGCGTGGACAGACGCCGCGACGTGGTGAGATGCCAAGCAATGCCCCGCATGAAACCACCTGGGGCTGGGCTGCTACTGCGGCGGCGTGAACCTCCTGCTTGAAGCAAACGACCTCATCATCAACCAGAGCGCCGGTTGTGTTTTGGCATCATCATCATCATCATGACAGACCACGAAGCAACGGACATGGGATAAGGGCGTGGTGGCGACGGCTGGCTGTGTAAAACACGTTGCTGAGCACTAGCGGCGGTAAAGCTAGGAGGAGAGGCAGAGGTAGCAGCGGTCACCCCGTTTCGGCTTTTCCAGGTGAATATGTTGGTGCTACAAGCTGGTGTACAGCAACAGCAGTGAGTTGTAGCGCTTAGCCTTCGTGGGGTGTATCGTGTGCGTGCCTCTCTGTACGCTGCTTAGCACCCATTGATGTGACGGCTGCTGCTGTACTGCTGTAGTGTGCGTACATAACGGGTACCGAGCGTTTCTTCATTGACAGATCAGCAGGTGCTGTCCTGCAACGTCGTCTCGCAGTCAATCGGTCTTTTCTCGCAAGCATTTCACCACAGCGCAGCAACTTTACAGCAGTGTAGCAGATAGAGTCGATGACCGTCAGCAGTGCCGGCCCGCTCGTAAGAGCTTGGGCGAGGTTAAGCACCTTGCCGCAGCCATGTGAGCTGTGAATCATATCCTCTTACTTCATTTTTGCCAGCTAGTACTGCGAAGACAGCACAACAGATGGAGTTCATGCCCACCCCCTTCGAACACGAAGCTTTCATCCCAATGTGTCTAGTCTACATCAGAAGAAGGCATTACAAGACCGTCTGCAAGCACCTTACAGTAGGTTACCGTTCCCAAATGATAAGTCACCCGATCTATCGTATGCATATTTATCCTCATCCTCGGTCGCTGTTTCAAACGTTGAGAATCCGCCCATGTTTCCGTGCCGGGGTGCCGCTCATCGCAGCCGTCGATCCGCTCGATCAACGCCTTTTCTCCCACGGACGATTTCGCCTCGTTTACACTGTTCGCATCTAGAGGCAACGTCACGCTAATAGTCCTTTGATGGGGCGTCAATGCCGCGCCGTATGCATACATCGTCGTACATGTGGCTGTTCAGGGCAGCCACCTGATTGATCTGCCTCAATAACCACCCCCGAACCAAGCCTCAAGAACATACAAACAACCAAACACAAAGCGCAACCTAGCTCATGAGGGGGACCCCCGAAGACGAAATCCGTCCCGACGCTGCATCGCTGCATGTATCAAGCTGTGACTAGGGGTCAAAGGCCGTTTCTTCCCACGTCCAACCTCAAATCCTTTCTTTTGTAGCAACTGTATCCACGCAGTCCCTTCCGAGGAACTGGAGATCTGTGAAGGTCTGCTTGCTGTACATCGACAACCTTGTCGTGGTTCTTTCTTTTTTGTCGTCAACGTTCAACTGCAACCTTCAGCAGTAGGTAGCGGGTTGTTTGTTCTTACCTCCTGTGTACCGCAGTTTTATGTACATGGCGCGAGTGTAATTCCTACTTGTACAGCAGTAGTTTCAGGGTTTATCATCGGTAACGCTCGTTGAGGCGGACACAGGGTGCACGCTTGTATGGTAGTAAATACGTGGTACACCGTTGAGGCGGGTCAATGCAGTTGCTGACGTTTTCCCTCCTGTATGTTCTTCGTGCCCCTTTCCTCCTCTTGCTCCATCCGTGCATCAGGTAGACTGGCTCAGCATCCTAACGGCACCGCGGCGCTCGCGGGAAGCCGGCCGCGACTCGAGCCTCACTTGACAAGCCGGTTCATCTTTAGGTGGGTCATACGCATAGAGTAGCAACAGGGGGTTTCGTGCAGTCCAGATTGCGATACAACATACAACTCTATGGATGAGCGTGACATTGTTGAGGGATACACTTGCATGTGTGCTGCTGGGAGCGACATTTGTGCTACTCAAGTTTTTCCAGAGTTCCTGCATTTTTGTTTACGACGCATATCGATGGCACAACGGCCGGACACACTTTTTCCAACTGCCCGCGGTCGAACCATGGCACTACAGAGGGCCGTAGAGAAGCTCGACGCTTGGGTATGTTCACTTTTGCCTTTTGGCTTCTGATGAAAATACTGAATCGCAAAGCACATGTCACGTTCTCGCTTTGGATGACAGGTGTTTATACAACCGAGCGCTGGACATCAAGACGGGGTCGAAGGCTAATTTGGCGGTTCCTCTCCGTCGAACAGCTACCTAACCTATGGGGTGCCAGGGCAGTGTTTGAAGACGTGGTGTTAATCCTGCGCGATGTAACGGCGATTCAATGCGAACCTCTTGGTGATCATCGGCAGCCATCTTGCATCCTGCGGAGAACTGTTGTGACAACCGGAAGATGTAAACGCTTGGTTTACGCACAGGCACATTCGGAGATCTAGGGTTGGTTTTCCATGCTTGTTCGTCGCTATTTCAGCGAGCGCCTATTCGGCGAGCAACTGCTGTTGTGTCCCGTTGGAATTTGGGAACGCCTTGTGTATAGGTTGCAGCGGTAGCAGCCAGTGACTGAGGTAGTGAATAGGGGCGGTTTGGTGGGGACGGGGGCGTCCATGCCGAATGCGAAGGTGGGGATGAGGGGATAGAAGTACCATCCGTACTATGCAGGCTGGACACGTGTCATTTCTTGGGGGCGTGCAAACCTTGTGGGCACCACAACAGCAGTAGGAGTGCCTGGCAGCAACGTAAGTACGTAGCAGTAATGGGAGAGGACTACATGATATTGGCAAACTCTGCTGTCGCCGAAGTTCCAATTTTTGTTTCCCAAACCGGTTTTGGGGGTAAACGGCAACGACCGATGCTAGCCCTGATCGGGGTGTGGTGCAGGTGTTCTGTGGCAGAACCAACCTACACAAACGTGATGCTGCCGCGTTTTTCGTAGAGGTTTGAATGTAGAAGAACACATGGCTTGAATGTACACGCATCGATCCTTCTCGTAAGATGCCCAATGTAGAGCAAAACACTATACTTTGAAATCGAAGAGATATGTACACGTACAACAGACGCATGCAAGAAAAAAAAAAGGTTGTACCTTCCGCACAATCATAAATACTCTTAATTAGTGCACTACCTCGGCCGCAATTCCTTGTACATTCTGATGCGCATGCATCAGTCCTCCTCGCAAAGTGCCAGGGAATGCAGAGCAAAAAACGATTTTGAAATCGAGCTCGATTTGAGCGAGATAACAGTCACAACAAGAGGGCACAAAAAGGAGAAAAAAAGAGGCTTCAGCCCAAACGCCTCTTCGTGTTTTTTTCGCGCTTCGCGCGAAATTAATATAACTCGTTCCCGGGTTGCCCTACCCATGGTCGCTGTGCCAATAAAAGGAGCAAATTCGCTCCATTTCCCATCAAAATCACCGCAAAGCAGACCTCCCGGCAGTACAGCCAACTGTTCAATAGACAAAGTACTACAAGTTGTGGGTAAACTTAAACTTCAAAGAAATACTTGAAGTAGTATTATGAGATCGGAAGGGAAGCAGGAGTTTCATCGGTTCATCATTCCAACTATTAGCAAAGCAGCGCTGTTGCTTCAATGCTCGGTGGTATCGCACACCACAAAAAGAAACACAAGCTTGTCGCAAAAGTCAAGCTCTCACAATGAGAGATAATTGAGGATGTAGCTGCCGCTGCTACCCACCTACCGCTAAATTCACGCGTTTCGTGACCTCCTTCACGGCGTGCAGCTCATGTGAGCTGTGTGCTGTGCAGCTGTGGGGGCTCCGTATGGGCATCGGGGGTTCCGTGGATTTTTTATCGATTTATCGTATCGAACATATCGAGATATCGAAATTCGAAATATCGAAAACGCCAATTTTTTTCGATCCTCGATATCGATACGATACGTAGATACGACATACCGAAAATACTGATAAAAATCGATACAATATCCACCACTAGTCTCCTAGTTCTGCTTGCTAGGACAATCATTTCGCTTTCTTTGTGGAAAGCGCATCGGTCAGTTTTGTGAGCCCTCACACTCCGCGCACTTGTTTTATCTGGGCACCAATTATCGACGCCAAGCAAAGGGCAAAGGGGCGTACCGCATGGTGTCAGCAAGATATTGCGTGCATCTTGATTCCTTCCCATTCTGGAAACCCACCATTTTCTGAGCACCAATTTGCACCCAGCCTGCGGGACTCACTCACCGATCAAAGAGCGTCCACAATTTACAAGCACATCAACGTCTCTATATCTCCCGCCCCCCGAGACCGTCCATGGTTTGGAGAAGTAGCCTTTTTTCACCACACTTGAGTACCGCTGGCGCAATTGAACCGCAAGTGCGACCAACAGTATGTCGAGCAGTGCCTCTTGCCCACCTATATAGTAGTCTACATGACACAGGTGTTTACAATTGTTTGTTCGCCTGTGAGGTCTCGCAAACCTAACAGTAGGGAACACGAGCTAAATAGGTATGTGATCCTGACAAGCACCCTCGAGTCATTTTCGCCACAAAGATTTCTCCTCGGACAGAGTGCAGGACCGATCTTTGGATCGTTCTTTTTTCTCCCCCGTGAAACTCGACGGTTACGTTTGTGAAAAATGCAGCCCTGAGCGACATGCATGCACACAGGCTCGTATGTGCGAGGGAGCACGCACAGGAACAGCCTTCCAGCAGACGACTTTGCACCCCAACATTCCAGAGCATAGCAGTAGTTTTCCCCCTTCAGTCGAACTCAACGCAACGCTTGCCCGACGCGTGGTTGTCGAGAACTGATCATCATGGCCCACACAGCACGCTTGTGAAATGTCAAAAAGATTGCTGTCAAGTGGGTGCAGCCACTGTATGGCACTGCGGCATTGCGTTTCCCTTCTCCACTTGTGTGCGACCTTCGTACCTCTTGTGTGGCCCCGGCTGATACATCAGAACATATACACACACCACGAGGTGTAATAGACTAGCGACAGAATGAATGGGACCAACACACGCACACCCGCCGGCATTATAGATGCCCGACTTTTCGCTCATCTCTGCACCGTCTCCGCAGGATCGCCTGGGTGTCAACCAACCGGGGCATCAGCCGACGGGCGCAGCCGTCGCAGGCGCGGCGGCGACGGTTTTTCACGACGCGGTGATGACCCCAATGGACGTCGTCAAGCAGCGCCTGCAGCTGGGCTACCACAAGGGGATGCTGGACTGCGTGTTGACTATCCAGCGGACGGAAGGGACGCAGGTGTGTCTGCGTGCCTGTTCATTGTTAAAGTGAAATTCAATACTAGTGGAAGTACTATAATTTGATTGTTATTGCCATATTCCTCTCCTTTGTTTGTAGCAAGGCAGAGACTGTATGTACAGCAGTTCTCGAACGTGGATGCAAGGATTCTGTCGGTTTCAAGCGACTAACTGGAGAACGAAGACGTTCGAGCCGAGGCGGTGCTCGCCCCTACTCAAATTGAGTTTCTCTTGGGGCGGACCAAGGCTTGGCGCTGGTCGGTCGGCATCATCGGTTGAACCTTGCCGCCATGTATCAGAGTACCGCTCGCTCATGTCCCCGCTGTTTTGCCCCAACATTGGCACCTGAAACCTATCCACCTGCACCACCGTCGTTGCTGCCCCCCCCTCCCCCCGCCCCCTGGGAACCAGGCGTTTTATCGAAGTTTCCCGACGACGTTGTTCATGAACATCCCGTACGGGTGCGTCATGGTTGCCGTGAACGAGAGCCTGAAGCATGTCATGCGTCCCGCGGGTGACTACGACACAAAGACCTTCCTCCTTGCCGGGAGCGGCGCCGGTGCCGTCGCTGCGGTGGCGACGAACCCCCTCGACGTCGTCAAGACGCGCTTGCAGACGCAAGCGTTCCGGGGGGCAGCAGCGCCGCTAGCAGCGCGCTCGGAAGGCTTCGCAGCGCCTAAGGAAGGGGCAACGGTAGGAGGGAGGGGAGGGATCGTTCTGCCGCAGTTCTTGAGAGCGAGCGGGGGAGCGGCGGGGGGGGGGGGGGGGGGGGTTGGGCCGCCCCGGCCGCTTTGGGGGGGTGGGCACGGGAACTGCCTCCACCGTGCGGCGGGT